ATGTTGGTTTTCCCCTGCCTGGTGTTTGGTAGGAGAGGGATCACAGAGGTGGCTTCTGTGAGAAGGTGCAAGAAGCTTCCCCTGGTGGGAAGGACTGCTGCTCATGAGATTGGACCCACACTGGAGAAGTTCATGGAGAGCTGTCTCCTGTGGGAAGGACCCCATAGTCTCACAGGGGAACAACTTCTCTCCCTGAGCAGCGGAAGAAAATCTCAGTGATTAAATGGCCAAAACTCCCATGTCCTCTCTCCCTGCACTGTTGGTGGGAAGAAGGGAAGGGTTGGGGGAAGAAAAGGTCTTTTTAAGGGTTTATTTCACTTCTCATTATCCTCCTCTGATTTTGTTAGGAATAAATTCACTTTGTACCCCTAAGCTGAACCTGTTTTGCCCTTGGAGTTTTTCTCCCAGTCCTTATTTCAACTCATGAACCCTTTCATTAATTTTCTCTCTCCTCTGCCCAGCTGTGGCAGGGGAGGGCAAGTGAGTGACTTTCCTGGGTGCCTGGAGTTTGGCCAGTGTCAAACCACAGCAGATGCTAATGCTGGGGGCCAGAGGTGCTGATGGTTCCTCTGCTTACTGACTTTGCAGTGTCTTCTGTGTCCTGCTTGCTGAAACAAGCATGAGGAGCCCAGGAGTCTGGGGATAGGGAGCTGCAGGTGAAGCAAGAGAATTTCCCAGCTCCACGGAAGGTGCGTCATGGTGGTGGGACTGCAGCTTTCGTGCAGACTGGGGAGGGAAGGCAGGTGGAGCACCCTTCTCACTAATAAACAGCTAAAGCACTCATGCCTTTACTTGAAAAGTCATCGTGTTTGATGAGCCAGCACAGCACAGCCTCCCTTGGCAGCTGGGTTTCCCAGGATGGGTGCAGGTGATCACTGGGGTGTGCAGGCTCCAAGGCTTTGTGCTGGGAGCAGCAGGAGGAAATGGCAGGGCAGGAGGGCACCAGTGTCCAGGGTGGCTTTGGAGCAAGCTGGGAATGGAGCTCAGCTCCTGGGCTGAGCTGTGTGCTCAGGGTAAGCAAAATCCCAGCTGGGCTCTGCACCTTCTCCACCAGCATGCTGGGGAAGTGCCACCCACCTGCCCATCTCCTCCAGCCTGGAGCAGCCCCTCGGGCTCTCTGCTGTGGGATGTAATTGCTCGTTAGGGAAAATTCTGGGGCTGTAATTGCTCAAAGTACCTCTGGGATCAGGGTGGAGCCCAGGCTGTGCCACCCCAGCGGACGTGCCAGTGCTCCACTGAACCAACCCTCTCTCTCCTTTTGCTGCCACTGGAAATTCCCCAGAGGAGCAAGAGTGGAAAAATGTAGTCACAATACTCCAGCGTAATTCACTTGGTCAAATAAATAACCTGTGTGGGAATTGAGAGTGATTTTTATTTCATAATCTTGCCGAAGCACAATCACTTTTACGGGCTTCTATTTTTAAGTACTTTTCTTGAGCATTTCCCATTAATTTTTCATTCCTTCTGCTTCCTACAGTTCAGTTACTCCTCCAGCAAAATGCTGTATTTTCCCCTACAGCTCCTGGGGTCAGTCTAACCTGACAACCTAATCTTTCAAAGCCTCACATTTATTTTTATTAATAATTTCTTAGGAAAAAAAAACAAAACCAAAAACAAATCAGTGGTTTTGGCTAGTGGTGTTTGGTTTAGGTAGATCTTGTCCTGGGTTGAGACCTCTCATGCTCAAAGTTTCAAGGCATGACTGATCAGTTTAAAGACATCCTGCTGTTAGGACCTGGCATTCTTAAGGCAAGGGCTCTGTCCTGGCAGGATGTGATCTGTGGAGGAGGATCAGACCATGAATATTAACAGCATGGATTAATGGGATGGGTGAACACGCTTCCGGCAGCTGCCTTGCCTTGGGTCTCAAAAGCCAGGAAGGTGAAGGGTGGATGTGTTCTACCCAGCATGAGAGCCCTGAACCTGGTAACCTGAAAAGGAGCTGGGATCCCAGGAGCATTGCACCTGCCTTTGCAGCCATCTGCTGCTCCTCATCCCCATCCATAGCCCTCCCCTCTGGGGTTCCACTCTGTGTAGCACTGAAAGGGGTTTGAAATCCATACACACACAGAAAGGGGTTTGAAATCCATAGACACACAGAAAAAACCCTTTTTCTAAATTAACACATCCACACCTGAGTTTGCCCCGAGGGATTATCCCTAAACAAGGTGTGCTTCCTGATCTCTCTGTTCAATGTAAATTTGTGCCAGTTGCTGGTGCAAATTGTTCAGGGCTCTTTGCCAGTGTTTGAACAATGCCAAGGAGGAGAAAGCTGGCTGGCAGGAGGAGTCCTGGCTTGTCTGCAGGTGCATATTCCTGCTGCTCAGCGAGCTGCTGGCTGCCTTGGGAGGGATGCATGAAGGTGCATGAAGGGAAAAGGTCCTGCTGCTGAAGGCCCCGTGGACTGGATCATCTGCTGGTAAAAACTGGAGCTGCTGGATGGAGGGTGGGATGTGCTGGGGAAGGGTCTGGCTGCCTGCCCTCTCCCAGGCTCCTGGGAGAAAGGGGCTCCTGGAGAATGTCTCATCCATGCTGTGGGGCTGGTCTGGCCCTGCATAACCCCAGGGCACTGAGGTCTTCTCTGCTGTGGGTTGATCCCTATCAGCTGTGGAGAGGAGGGATGGGAGGAGCAGAGTTTGAGATGTGGCTTTGCCACTCACTGCCTGCTCACACTTGGCATTGAGGTGTTTATGGTGCCCTGCTGAGCTCCAGGGGTGCATGGTGGGTTTGGATGCAGTTCACTGGTGAGCACCCCAGCTCTGAGCACAGAGCCTGGATCCACACGGCTGCTGCATGTCCTGGTGTCCCACTCCCATCCCAGGGGAGCAGCCTGCCAGAGGCTGCAGAGCTCCACACTGGGCTGTGCCAGGACCTGTTCTGCAGCTTCCCCAGTGCCAGGGTGGTGGTGACCATCTGCAAGCACCTCCCTCTTAAAACCAAATGCTTGTGGTTTTCAAAGGCTTCCTGCACTGCTAAAAACATAACTCTAAGGCCCCCTGCCAGGTGCAACAATAGTCTGTGAACTGTAGTTCTGGTCACATTCAGAAGAGCCAGCTGGGTTCAGGAATAGCATGATTTATTGAATGTCACAGATATGGTTCTTCTGGATTGCCCATGACAAATGCCTGAACTGCAGAGTGGCTTTATAGAGCACTAACAATACAATGGCAATCACAATCTTAATTTCCCAGGTTAACACTCTGAGGACACAAGACTTGCCAAAAGATGACCCTTGTGGGGTGGGAGAGGACAAATCTGTTAAACTATTCCTGGAATTTCAAGTAAAATTCTTGTCTGCCAGCTAGATATTAAACTGGCCAGCTTTTACATCTTATTAGCCACTATAGTGCAAAGTGCTGCCAATAGTGATCAAATCTTCTGTTATTTGTGGATTTATTGTACAGAATATTTATTGGTAAGAGGTTATGGTTTGTCAAAACTTTTCTGGGTAGAAAAAACTTTTCAGGTAGAAAAACTAGACCACATGGCCTCCACTGCACATTCACCCCCATGCCATGGCAACACAAATCACAGGAGCTACATCCAATTCCTATGCTTGCACTGCAGGTCCCATTGCACATCCAGCTTTGTCTTTTCTTTAGTGCTTTGTGCTTCCATGCACACACTCAGATGTTGTGAGGCTGAGCCAGAGCATTGCATGGAGCGGTGGAGTGTCTTTGGGTTTGCAGCACCAGGGCAGAATGGCCATGAGGGACATTCAGAGGCAAATGCAGAGAATTTTCTATTTTCCTGTTTTGTTTTGTTTTGTTTGGTTTTTTTTTTTTTCCTGTGTTAAGGAAATGAACACCAAATCCAGCCCTTCCACTCTAATAAACTTGGAGAGCTCCTGTCAGCCCCCACACCTCCAGCTCCCTGAGGTTTGCTGCTGCTAGCCCTGGGGGAGAAGGAGTTAAATTTGCATTAAATAGCAGCCCAGCTGCCTGCAGAGGCTCCAATCCCACCCTTTATTCCACAATGTTTCATGGCTGATGAACAGCCAGCTCCAAATTCACGTGGCACTTTTTAAACCAAGGACAAAACTCCATCTGGCTGCCTCGGTTCAGAACGATCTGCTTTGGGTTGGACGGGCAGTTTTCACTTTGTGCAGTTTCATGGCTTTGCAGACCAGGACATTCCTGGCTGGGTTCCAGGCTGGTCATTCCAGGGGCGACCCCTCCTGGGAGGGACAGACCGCTCTGTCCGCTGTCCATCCCTCTGTGCAGGTGGATCTGTGGGCATGGCTTGCCTGCCGCTGCCCTGGGAGTGAGCCCAGCTCAGGAGC